TAATACTATCAAAGTGTTATATTTATAAAATGAAAAAAAAAATTGTGTGGGTCAAAATCTAGTATATAGTATTTTTTTATTTACGATTTAGGAATATATAGTGCGATCTACATAAATTTTAATATCTTAAACAAAAAAAATTGTATTTCAAATAAAAGATATGGGTAATATTATGGAAAGACAATTTAAAAAGATGCCAAAAAGATTTTGTTGTATTTATTTCATTTGTGTTTCAAATAGAAAGATAAAGATATTTAAAGATATTATCATTAAATTATATAACATTTGATAATTTTCATAATCTTTCTAAGAAATAGTTCATTTTTCTAAAAATCACACATGAATCAAGGTTGTGACTTCTGTTTTAATAGATAAGATATTATACATACTTCTTTGACCATTTCTAAGTGGTTCTTCTAATTGTAATAAAAATTACAATTTTGACGAATAAAGTAACAAGACTAAAGAACCAATATGTGTACCAGCAGAAACGTCATTTGTCAATCATGCGTTCGTGATTCTTCTTTGGGAAAGATAGTTATAAATTAAACAATTAAAATTAAATATAAAGATTATTTTTTATATGCTAAGTCTATTTTCTTTGGAACAGCAAATAAATTGGTGACACTTATCTTATAAATAATTGTTAAAGGGGGATCTTGGGTTCGAGTAACGCCATACACATTAATAACCTACCTAGAAGAGCTAAGGGTTCAGCAGGTGAGAGGTTAGGATCGGTGCGCTGTAGCGCTTGTGAGCTACAAGATGGATTGTCACAAAAAAAACGATCTTTTTATTGTAACAACCTGCCCACCCCATGGCCGCCAGGCTGGCCCTGCAGGGCACCGACTCCAACCCCTCCATTATGAATTCTCACTAACTCCATAATTAGGTTGTTGGTGAGACTCGAACCTAGATCCTCACTCTTTAACAACACTCCCACATGATAAGCCGACCGCCCACGCCCGCTCTCTCGGGCCATGGGTCCCATCTCGTTCTAACAGTCGGTCCGTTAATTTCCCAAGGCTCGAAATCATTGTTTACTGACCCTGCAATCACCATCCGACCTTTCCTCGTGCTTTGGCCTCACTTACATGGTATCACAATTCACTTCCCGATAGGTCACCCATTCTTTGACTACTCCAGCTCAAGCACGTTTAACGCTGAAGTTCTCTCTAGATGTGCTCCCGGAAAGGTAAGTGCACTTTGGTGACATAAGTAGCCAAATCAATCATCTTAACTCTTTCCCTATATCACGATTCGAGATGTTATAATTCACCCCCTCTCAAAGAACGCAACATCTTCGTTGCGTCCCACGACAGGTCTCAAGACGCCTCTCAGGTCAGAACTGAGATGACTAACCAACTCTGATACCACTTGCACTATAAGAAAATGCACGAACGTTTTATATATCCAATAATTATATATAATATATTACTGGAAACCCCAAAAATGTTTCTAAAAATGAAAAAATGTTTAAAAAAATCAAAAAACGTTTTAAGAAATCAAAAACGTTTAAAACACACAATATAATTCCAAAAAAAAATTAAAACAACCAACCAAACAACAATCCTAATTAATATATCATAAACTATCCATTCAATCCTAAACATACAAATCAAACAACCTCAGATCCTAAGATCTAACTTTCTTAACCCAAAAAAACGAAATAAACAAAGGTTTTTAAGAATCTTATATGCTTTGTGGGTGTGGGGTAGAGATTCGTGATTGGGAAGAGGAATCGCCAGAGTTGGGAGCTGTAGAACCGCCTCTGTCGCCGGAGAAGAGAGAGAACTCGGAGAGATTAGAGAGAGAGAGGCGGAAATGACGAAGACGAAGAAGAAGTAGAGTTTTTATATTTAATGATTCCGACGGAACCCATTCCGTCGAAATTTCATCGGTATCATTAATTAAATATTAATTGGCGGTTCGCGAAATTTTTCATGCGGTTTGTTTTTCCCGGGTAAATGATATTCCGACGAAATTAGTAAAGTCGTCGGTATTCCGTCGAAAACTGGGTTCGTCGGAAAGTCGTCAATTTTTCAGACGGATTACTGACGACTTATTCCTACGGAATTCTGACGACTTAGTGTTTAGGGGTTGATTACAAGTTTCTAAATGCCAAAACCAAATATTTTATAATATATATAGTATTTACATAAAGATTTAACTATAAAAATGTTTATATAACATGATTTTACACAAAACATTTTTGTAGTGTAAGATTAGATGAATATGATTGTATAAGTATATGAGTGTTAAGATGATATGTTGTGAAAACAATGATATACATAAATATTTTAGTGAGTTGTTATATTTGAACGGTTACAAACTAATACTATACTAAACACTTATTATGTGTTATTTTCATAGTTTTGGTATCCAAATTTATATTTTTTTATTACAAAAAAAATTAAAACACAAGTCCTCGGAAATTCCTCAGAATATACCGAGGACATTCCGACGAACTTGCTTAGTTCGTCGGAATGTCCTCGGTATATTCTGAGGAATTTCCGAGGAACTTGTCCACTTTGAATAAAACCACAGTTTGTCACTATATCGTCGATATATAGTGACGGAATACCGACGGATAATATATATAGTATTTTCATAAAGGTTTAACTATAAAAATGTTTTTATAACACGATTTTACACAAAAACATTTTTGTAGTGTAAGATTAAATGAATATAATTATATAAGTATATGAGTGTTAAGATGAGATGTTATGAAAACAATCATATATACATACATAAATATTTTAATGAGTTGTTATATTTGAACGGTTGTGATCAAATATTATACTAAACACTTATTACGTGTTATTTTCATAATTTCAGTATCCAAAATTTATATATATTTTGATTTAAAATTTTTTAAAACATAAGTCCTCGGAAATTCCTCGGAATATACCGAGGACATTCCGACGAATTAAGCAAGGTCGTCGGAATGTCCTCGGTATATTCTGAGGAATTTCCGAGGAACTTGTCCACTTTGAATAAAACCACAGTTCGTCACTATATCGTCGGTGACGGAATATCGACGGATTTCTGACGACATCAACATTTATATATTTTATCGGAAGGTCTTCAGAATTTCGTCAGTATATGTCGACGAACCACGTTTGGTTGGAAAGTAGTCGGAATATTCCGATGAATTTCCGACGAAGTTGTATTTTTTGTTTTCGTCGAAATTCCGTCGGAAAACTGTCAAAATTTTCCGACGACTTTGATATCCGTCGGAATATAGCGTGTTTTTTTGTAGTGTTGTAACACCCCTATCGCCCACGGCTAATAGGCCACCTACGCCCGCTCTTTCGGCCCATGGGCCCCATCCCATTCTAACGGTCGGTCCATTAATTTCCTAAGGCTCGAAATCATTGTTTAATGACCCTGCAATCACCATCCGACCTTTCCCTGTGCTTTGGCCTCATTTACACGGTATCACAAATCACTTTCCGATAAGTCACCCATCATTTGACTACTTCAGCTCAAACACGCTTAACTCTGGAGTTCTCTCTAGATATGCTCCCGAAAAATTAAGTGCACTTTGATGACATAGGTAGCCAAATCAATTCTCGTAAACCTTTTCATATATCACAATTTGGGATGTTACATTTTTGTTACTATTTGAACAGGATAGACAATTGCCATTCGGGACAGACAGTCGCCATTCGAAACCTAAATTAGTATTGATTCATCCAAACTTTTAACATTTTATTATTCTTATTTACTAACATGCACATACTTCTTTAACAAAACTATTTTATCTCAAAAGTGGTTGAAATATAGTAACTTCATAAATACAAAATACATTTAATAAAGGGAGTCATACAAGATGATTTATTTATTTTCAAAAAGAATATCCACTATAGGGAAATGAAAGATAACACATATACTATTACATAATTATTAACAAAATACAAATAAAGATTGATTGATTTGGTATTGTTTTACATGATATGTATAGGCAAATTCGATCAAAACTACAATATATTCTATGAGAAAATAACAATATAATAATATTCTTTTTGTTGCCATTTACCTATATATAACTAAACCAAATTTTTACCAGAAGAAACATTTTTCCGAATAACACATCTATCTAACCGTCTCTAATCTATATGAATTTATTTATTTATTATTAATATCTTCAAAAATATGATTTATTATTCATGATAACCAAATATTATTAGTAATTTTTATAAATGTTGTGTATATATATATATATGTCTTGAACTCTAAATTCTTATCTGTTTTAAATATCTATATCGAACGTGAAGCTTAAACATGAACTCTAACTCATTCAGAAATCACGAACAACAATATTTCCACCATAATTGCTAATTCCGAAACTATTGTCTTTATTCATTGTATTACTTTAACTGACGTAATAATGATATAGATCATTCGTTGTATTTCTCATTACAATTATAGTAACTATGCTTGATGATGAGTTAGATTCAAAGAATCGTAATTATCCGTTCTCTTGTTAATTTCGCAGATATCTTTTTATTTCGACCTCCTTTGACGATCCAAAAATAGTTCCTTTTCTGTTAAAGTCCAATAATTTATTTTTCAAATTGAATTTATTTAAACGAATATTAAAAAAGCTCAGGAAAAGGTTTTTTAAAAAGGGGAAAGTGCTAAAACAACCTACCCAAGTTGCGTTACACTACGTATCTTTCTCCCCACACAAAAATGGGGAAATATATTCTTTTTCATTTCCAAATCCTACAAAACAATATTTTCGTTTTAATTCATGTGATTAAGAAAATGAAAACATTGCAATTTTGTTTTTTTCCCACTCCTTTATAGTTTCATTTGCCCATTTTCCCTTTATATTTTCCTCTTCATATTCCTAACCTTTCTCCCAAACTTCTCTGTTCATCGTTTTCTCTCTAATTACAATAAATATCTTCACATAGCATTCTCTGAATCCATCTCTCCCAAAAAAACCGTCCAAGATCAAAAAGGGTTTAAGGTTTCTTATAAAGAGAAAAATGGAGACGTTTTGTGGGTTTCAGAAAGAAGAAGAGCAGATGGATTTACCTCCAGGGTTCAGGTTTCATCCAACAGATGAAGAACTCATAAGTCACTACCTCCACAAGAAGGTTCTTGACATCAGCTTCTCAGCTAAAGCTATTGGTGAAGTTGACTTGAACAAATCTGAACCATGGGAGTTACCATGTAATATTTCAAGATCACCATAATATCACGTTTTAACATTTTCTTTTTCTTCTTGAAACCTAAATATTATGGGGGATTTTTTTTATACAGGGATGGCAAAAATGGGTGAGAAAGAATGGTATTTTTTCTGTGTGAGGGACAGAAAATATCCAACCGGTTTGAGAACTAACCGGGCGACTGAAGCCGGTTATTGGAAGGCAACCGGGAAGGATAAAGAGATTTACCGTGGTAAATCCCTTGTTGGGATGAAGAAGACACTTGTTTTCTATAGAGGAAGAGCTCCTAAAGGTCAGAAAACTAATTGGGTGATGCATGAGTATAGGCTTGAAGGCAAACTCTCTGCTCATAATTTACCTAAAACCGCAAAGGTAACACACTTTCTCTGTTTTGTTTTTCTATCTAAAACCCTTTTGTTTGATAATTCTCTTTTTTTTTTGTGGGTTTTGTCAGAATGAGTGGGTGATATGTAGGGTTTTCCAGAAGAGTGCTGGAGGGAAGAAGATCCCTATTTCAAGTCTAATCCGAATCGGTTCACTTGGAACCGACTTTAGCCCTTCACTTATGCCTTCTTTAACCGATGCTTCACCTTTCAACGATAAAACCAAAACAGAACCGGTCTACGTGCCCTGCTTCTCCAACCAAACTGATCAAGCCCAAGGAAACACACTTCATTGCTTCAGCAGCCCTGACATTTTCAACAGGATTCCACTCTACCAAACTCAATCTCTCCAGGTCTCTAATAATCTACAAAACCCAATTCTTGGTCAAGAACATCCGGTTCTACAGGCTATGATTGATAACAACAGAAGGCAGAGTCTCAACGTGATGAGTGTCTCACAAGAAACCGCAGTTTCTACTGACATGAACACTGATATTTCGTCGGATTTTGAGTATGGTAAGAGACGTGCTCAAGAAGATCCGTCTTCCTCTGCTGGACCCGTTGATCTTGAACCTTTCTGGAATTACTGAAGAAAATTCAAGAGTCTCGTGTCCACTAATTTACTGTCATGAAAAAGTAAGAAAAGAAATTTTACCTTTTGGTCTGGTGTGTCAACGTTTGTATAGATTATTACAATCTCAACTTCCACTATATGTTATACTCAAAAAGAAACTTAAAATATAATTTGGTACTTGATGCTTGCTAGAGAGAATGGAGAGTCTATTGGGTACTATTGATCATAATTGATGATAATATTATATACACCCTACGAGCTATTTGATCAATTCACCCTTTTACCATTGGTTTGTTTTTAGTGCTTTGACATTTGAAGTTCAAAAGTCTTGAAAAAGTGAAAGACACTCTTAGTAAGGTTTAATTTTTACTATTTACATTTACTTGGATAAATAGAAGTTTGCCAATTTCTCTATTAACAATGTAGTAAAGGTGATAACCGTTGACACATTGTATAATTTGTTTTAAATGAAAAGAATATCCACATTCCTATATTTTAATTTGTATATACAGTTTTAGTGACTATGAAGCATGGTGATTTGTATTCATTCAAATTATTTTTAAAACATGGTGATTTACTACTATCCGAACTCAAATACTGTAGACTGTGTGAATTGTTGACAGAAAAATACAGTTTAAACTTTAAAGAGATCTACGTATCTTTAGCTACAGTTTAATTTAATGTGTTTCTCGAAACTATTTTGTCTTTCAACTTTGTTTATATTTAAATGTATATTTTAGCACATAAAATTGGTCAAGAACTGAAACTGCTTAGGCGCTCCGCATGGTGTTCACATCCACTGCAAATTTTAATAATCATTGAATAGACATTACAAATTATTTGGGTTTTCACCTAAAAGCTAAGACTCCTTTCTAACCAGTAGCAATAATGTTCCAAGAGTATTAATTGTATTGTAGGCTTGTAGCAATAGTAATAAAGATACTGAACATATACAATATTCATGCTTTCATGTTTGCTGTTTGGTAGAAACCAATCTTTTTTTAAGCTTTACATGTAGAACATACAAAGTCAGACCAATTCTGAGTTTAGAAGACCACAAAGTAGAGAAAAAGATGTTTGATGTTTGATTTATATTTGAACTTTCTACTACTGATATTGTTAAAAGGCATAAAGTAGAGTATATTATGCATCCCTTATGTGGTTTATTAAGATTTCTGGAATGTGTAAAGTGAAACACAATTTCCATGAACATAAAACCTAAATTTACGTAACGTATCAATTAGTAGAGTTCCAAAAGTATCCCGTTTCTAATACTACTGGAAAAAGCATGTGAGGAGAAATTAATTTAAAAAAATCTAATTAACGTTTACAATTATATACATAATATTTATATCAGTTTTATTATTAGATAAGACTAGCAGTTTTAGTAAGGAATTGGGTTATATATTATAAAATAATCTTTATAATTATATAGGAAATAAAACTAGGCATATATGATTGTAATAACACAAGTATATAATATAAATTTAGTCAAAAAACTATATAATATAAATATATAATACCATTAATAATTAAACTGTGAAATGTTTATATTTAGTGTTTTCTCAATCCCTCTTGCGTTCGTTCCATGACGGATATATTCCGTTATAAAGCTGTTATGCGTGATGCTTGAAATTTGTGTGTATTGTCCATATGCATTACGTAGCACATCTTTTTAATATATATATAAATATATGTGTGTGTGTATATATGTACTATTAGACTTTAGTTAGTATTATATATGTATGGTAACACAACACTTTAGATCATCTCCAATGGTGTCAAATTTTGATGATCAGTAATCAGTGTTCTTATGGGGTGAGAAAATACATGAGCATAACAAGAGTCACCAAATCACGTATTATAGTCTCTATAATCTGGCTAGAATGGTTCGCTGATGTCTATTAAGATGTATCATATAGAACTTGGATGAGAATAATGATTCATATCCTTTATTTCATGACACAATTCAAATTACCAAACAAAAGTCGAGGAGAGGTGGGAGAAGCACGTGATGGTATGATCATAACTAGAAATGAGATAAATTGAGTCCCACACGACATCTTCCTTAACCCATCTCTTTAACAGTTATTTTTTTTTTCTTTCGATTTTCGATCTACATTTTATCCCTCATTTTTATTTATTTTCTTTTCCTTTTTATTGAGTGATTAGCCCAATATACCAAAAGAAAAAAGTATTTAGGAATTTGCCATATTTGGGGAGGGGGGAAGTAGTGATGGGAGGAGGAGAGAGGAGGAAATAGAGTAGGAAAAATTGGAAAATTGGAAAATTGGGACACTTTGAACTTTTATTTGTCCATATAAGATTTCTCATACTTTTGGCAATTTTGGACATGTTTTACCCTTTATTAATGAAAAAATTGTAAATTAATTTTGGAAAATAGAAAAAAATATGAGAAGGCTAGAAAACATAAGTATGACAACATATATGTTTAAGTTTTTAGTTTTTAAAAGTAGAATCATATTTTATTTTATCTTCTAGCAACAGATAGAATATTCGTTTTGGTTATCTACTCAGTTTAGAAATCATATACTGGGTGTTCTTGCTAGATAGACCCGAGGTATGAAACGTAATATAACATTCTTTTCTATTCTAACCAATGTAGTATTGGTAACGTTATAATCAAGGCATATGTCTTTGGTGTACGTGAAGCTATATGCCGATTTATAACCATAACTTATTGATATATCTCATCCAGATTTTGTGTCATAACCAATTAAGCATGTTATCTTATGTGACGCTTGAGAAAGAATACGTTTCCCACCTTTTCTATTGTGTTCTGCCTTAGGTAGTTTACATATTCTAGGTAATCCGCAAAATATGGAAACTTCCATATTTGATTGAAGATGTTTCCTAAATATCTTAGAGAATATTTTGTCCATGATTTTCTCTCTTCGTCACGATCTTTTTCTCTGTTTTCTCTGTGTGTTTAACATTCTTCATTAAAAAGCTTCATTTTTTCTTCTTATCAATACAAGATGGTTCTAATCTATGTTAAATCCGGTGAATGGATGTCTAGTTGCAATGATGAATGGTAAGACCCGCTACCCGTCGGGTATTAGTTTAACCTGCAAAAAAAAAAAACAACACGTGTGAGACTTCATGTATTAATTAAACAAAAACATAAAAAAGCACGGGATCGATCGATCCCAGAAAGAGTCGGTCGATCCCGATGGTCGATCTCGATGATTAAACAAAAACAGAAAAAAACACGGAGCAAAAACTGATCGACCTTGTCCAGTTCAGTTGATCTTCACTAATCAATCTATCATAGATCGATCTCTATTTTAGATCGATCGATCCCGATCCCAGATAATAGAACCGAACCAAAAATAACCAAATATTTCTCTTTGAATCAGTTTTGATCCTCGGGTGCGTTGAATCATAAGTCACCTTGATACATAATGTGTTCTTCGTGTACGAGTATGTGTTGAATTGTCACATAATTATGTCAGAGAGAAGGCGGACTCACCATGGGAGAGAGCTCGACGGAGAAGATGATGTAAAACAAAATTAGGGTTATCGATTTCCCCTTTGTACTTTGTGTCCCGGTTCTTGTTTTTTGTTTTGTTTTTTTTGTTTTTTTTTTGTTTTTTGTTTTATAATTTAAATTTATAATTCCCCTTAATTGATTAAAATAAAGGGTATTATGGTATTAACAGATTTGAAAATCCTATTTTCCAAAAAATATTCTAAAAGTCTTATAGGGACAAATCAAAGTTGAGAGTGTCCTAATTTTCTAATTTTCCCAATAGAGTATGAAGCTAAATAAGAAGTTGTGTGTATGTATGGAGTGCAAATACGCTTTTATTTAACTATTCATAAATATAAAATTAATTGTTCTCTTGTATAGTCAAAATATTATTACATGGCAACGTTAAGAGATTTTCTCCACTAACGTGTTTTTTTTTTTATAAATTACACATGCATTTTTCCCTTATTATTTGTATCTATTATAAAATTATATTTTTTTTCTATATCAATGGTGGATGCAACTATAAAATCTCTATTTTCTAGAGAAATTTTGATAACTAAATGATCAAAACTCTTTGATATTCATCATATATCAATGCTGAATGCAGCTATGCATAAATACAAAAGTTTCATATTTTTCTAATTTCTCTTAAAATCTGTGGGTTAACCAACCCAATGAAAAGATCGAGTTTTTGGATAAATGTTATTTGTACTTAAGTTTAGTCTCTTTAGTATTGTTTAAAATATCTAACCACATTAAAAATTTATAATAATGTATCTTGAATTTTTTTCATGGTATATGGACATCAGTTATAATAAACATATTTTAATATTATTAAATAAATTAATTAATTATATATAATTTATATATAAATTACTATTATTTATTTATTAGTAGACAGTAAATTATTCATATATAAGATTATAATAAAAATTAATATATGTTATATAGTTTATTTATTAGTGTCTAAATAATATGTGTATATCTATAATACATAAATACATATTATGTTATTTATATCTATAGTATATAAATATATATTATGTTATGTTTTTTATTAAAAATAATGAACGATATCTGTAATTATATGAATTATATTATATTTTAAATGTGAAATATTGGTTTTTTAAAGTTAAAAATATGTAATTAAAATTTTTGTTCTTATTTTTTAAAATATAAATTTATTTTTATTTTAAAAATATATTTATATTATTAAACTAAAATAAATTAGTTATATATAATAATTTTTAAGTTTTATATATTCTATCTGTAAATGCTCTTCCAAAAGCTCTATACGAGAGCATTGAGCAAATAGCATTTGGAGAGCATTTGCATTTGGTAAATGATTTTCTAAATGTTTCTTTGAAAAATGTTGATTGGGTAATAGGGAGCAACATAATTTTAATGTTAATGCTCTACCCATCAACCCCTTAGTGGACTAATTCATATAAAATCTATAATTTCTAGAGAAACATGGACAAATAAGGTTGCAAACCTCTTTAATTTTCATCACATGTTAT